ATCAGTTTGTCCACTTGCCAACATCGCTCTGGGTTCAGATCTCTCTTCTTTCCTGATACTGTTTCCCAGGACATCACCAGACAGTGACTGGACCCTGTGCGGGTCTTTAATTGCAGGAGGGACCCAAGCACACTGCAGAGCCCGGTGCTGCCCCCAGCCAAGGACATCCCTGGATGCTCGAGGAACATCCCTGGTACAGACCAGCAGGGCTGAGCATCCTGGTCTCCCCTTACCTGGTACCTGCTCACTCGCTCCTGCTTGATCTGCTCAAACTTCCGCTTCAGCTCACTCTGGCGCTCAACCCGCTTCTGGGCTCGGCCCACGTACACCAGCCGCCCGTTGATCTCCTTGCCGTTCATGTCAGCCACGGCCTGCCAGAGGAGGGAAGGGCTCCGAGTGCCACGGGAAGCCAACGGCCACAGCTCTACTCCTCCCCCACCACCCCAACCACCGCAAGCAGAGACCTCCCCGGGCAAGGGCAGGGAAGCAGCTCTGCTCCCATCCAGGCACCCTGCCAGTGCCAGCACCCAGGGAAGCACAGGGCAGGCGAGGTTCCCCCCTCAAGGAGAGGTGGGAACATCAGCAGGCAACAAGCTCGGGGCCGAGCCAGCAGACGGGCAGCGAGGAGCCTCTTACCTTCTGGGCTTCTTCATGCGTCTCAAAGTTGACAAACCCAAAGCCCTTTGAGCGGCCAGCGCTGTCCATCATGACCTTGACACTCAGTGTCTTTCCTGCAAGAGGAAGGGAAGGAATCCTTCTGAAGAAGGGTGCCCTCCGTGGGGATGCCACCAGCATGCAGCACCGTGCTCAGGAGCCACTGTGAGATGCCAATCCAGCAAGGAGACTGGACGGCCACGGCAGGGTGGAAGAGCCAAGCAGAACAGACTGTGGGATCCCCACTGTGCGTGTTGGTGAGGGTGATCCCTCCCACCGCGGATGCTGCTCTCATTGCTCTCGGCTTTTCGGTTTCTGCAGCCAGGGCACCAAGGTCCCTTGGCCAGAAGTTCTCATCTCCTTTAGACACGAAGGCTCTAGCTCATAGGAAGGGTACTCACAAATTACCCAAGATAACACCGACCAAGCATGGACAGTGTAGTCCATGGGTTGGCACAACACTACACCCCATCGCCAGGGGCCTCCTCCAGTAACAGGCTGAACTGAAAAGCCTTTTTTGCTCTAAATTCAGACTCAACATCATATTCCCAGGGCTCCTATAGCCAGACACATGCTGGCTTTAAGACAATTTTTAAAAAACCCTAACAAAAACAACCCCACTTCTGGTACCCAGGAAAGTGAAAAGTTTATTTTTTTTCAGGCCACCACCCAGGCTACCCTCCACCACCCGGGCTACCCTCCCCCACCGCAGGAAAGCGCATGTAATGTCCTGACGATTTAAGCCACTGCGACCCTTGGAGCAAGTCGGACCCATCGAGAGGAGGGCTCAGTATTTCAACCAAGCGCTCTCCCCAGCTTTCTTTGCAAGTTGCCCCAGCTCCAGTTTAATCAGACACAGTGATACTTTGCTTCAACAACTGCACTCACCAAACCTGGAGAATATTTCCCGCAGCCTGTCATCATCCATGTCGCTCCCAAAGTTTTTGATGTAGACGTTGGTGAACTCCAGCGCTCTAGCCCCAAACTCTGCCTCACGCTCTTTGCGGGATTTGAAATGGCCAACAAATCTGCAGGAAGGAAGGAAGGAAAGGGACCTGAAACCCTCCTTGTCTGTGGGGAAGGTGGACACAGGCACGTTTGTCTCGGTACATGCCGAGGGAGACCCCATCACCTCACGCCGTGCTTTGCTCACCCAAAAACCCACCACGTGTTTCACATCCAGCAACTTCAGCATGTCCTGCTCTGGTGTTCCCCCACCCAGACCCCACTTGGGGCTACTGAAACAGAGAGCGGTAACACAGGGCACAGCCCCATGCTGTCACCCCAGGAGACCCCCGAAAGCCCCCAAAGTGCCAGCTCTCTTAAGATACCCCCAGGCCCTTTGGGCAGCCGCTTGCCTCTGTGGAGTCAGGGGTGTAGGGGATAAGGTGATGCAATGCAAGCAGAGAGCTGAGAAACTACAAAACCTCTTCCTGCCCAGATTATCTGATGCTGAGAGCCGAGGGCGAGGACCAGCCCTGCTTTGTGGGCACTCAGCACCTCAGCAATAACACACAGCCCAGGGCTGGATTCCTTTCCCACCGTCAGGAACGGCTCCAAACCGCTATCACACTTCCACCAGCACAGACTGAGTGACTCACTGCCCGGAGAGCAGCGGGACGGGAAGGGAGGAGAAGGGGAGCAGCAGGAGGTGGCTGCCTGAGCAGGGCAGGCGCTCGCTCCGGGGTGTGTGCGAGGCAAGGAGGAGGGAAGCGAGGAGATGCTCTCTCCTCCCGGGCACTTACACCTTCCGGTCGTTCAGCAACATCCCGTTCATGGTCTCGATGGCGCGAGTCGCTGCCTCCTGCGTCTCAAAGTGAACAAAGCCATAGCCACGGGAGCCGTTTTCATCGCAAACCACCTACGAATGCACAGTAAGGGGGAGGAAGGAGACAGACGCTGGTTTTCTCCATGTTTGCACACGAGTCACTCACAGGAAAACCCTTCCTCATTTTCCAGGGGCATTTACCCACCCCGACATCCCACTCCCACTGCAGCTGAGCTGTGTTGGGGTGTTGGCAGCAGGTCAGGGAGTCGGGTGAGCCCGGGGCTGGATCCCCAGTGCTTTATATAATGCCCAGGGGCTTGTGGCTCACGGAGACCCAAGTGCCATCACCGCGCTGAGCTCAGTCAGGACAACACACCATTTCCCCGCACAGGGACGGGGAAGAAGAGGGACATGGGAAAAAGCTCCCATTCCCAAGAGAAACACGGCAGGGCCTTTTAGCTTCAAAGCAGGTGGGAATTTAGAGGAAACTTTTTAGGAAGTAGAAAAAAAGGGAATTTCAGCTGGCTGGAGCACACTGCCAAGAACATGGGCACGTACCTTGCATGACAGGATGTTTCCGAAGGCGGAGAATGTGTCGTACAAGGCCTTGTTATCAATGGAATCGTCCAGGTTCTTGATGAAGACATTTCCAACCCCTGACTTCCTGAGCCCGGGGTCCCGCTGGGACCACATGATGCGGATGGGACGGCCTTTGATGACTTCAAAGTTCATGGTGTCCAGGGCTCGCTCAGCTGGCAAGGAAGCGAACACAGGGGGAGAGAGGATGGTGACATACAGATCCCCTTTGCATCCTACGGCAGGCGAGACAGGCACAGAAACCAGGGACACTGTTGGATAGGGACTCGTTAAACTAACGGAGATTGGCAGCTCTGTCTCCCAGGGCAGGAGGGCCAGGCAGGGGCTGCTCTCCTCTCCTCTCCCTCCCCTCCCACAGCACTCCTTCCTTTTTAATTTTTCCTCTCCAAACATGTCTGACTCCCACGGGATCATTCATTTCACTGTGAGCTCCAGTTTGGCAGATTCCCAACTTCTTTACCCAGTAAGGATTTTGGTCTCCAGGGCAACTAACCCAACACCTTCCCATCACCGCTGCCTCGCTGCAACGCCTGTGGGGCGCATGCATCCCTGCATGCATCCCCGCGATGCCTGCCAGGAGAGGGGCCTCACTCCATGCCATAAGCCAGCGGGTGGCTGCCTGCCCCAGGGAAGGGCAAGAAGGGCTTGTGGTGCCCTTCTCCACCAGCTCACGGAGGGAGGCAGCTCAAGCCACCCTCCTCCTCCCACACAAGCCCAAATCCCAGCTGCTGCAGCCCCTCCCAGTCTCTAAGCAGAGGTGGGAGCAGGATGGGTCACCTCCTCAGCCACGTAAGAGAGAAAATTGGGATTAATTACAACCAAAACCCAACGGTACCATAACACTGCCATGCCGTTACAGCTGAGGCATCCCCTCAAACAACTGCTCCCTGCTTTTCCACCGCCTGCCCTTCCTTCTCTTGCCCACACCAAGCCCCATTGAGAGCAGCTCCTCGGGGCTGCGTTCCAGGGACCGTACCATCCGCGGGCTGCTGGAAGTTTATGTAGGCGTAGCCCAGCGATCGGCGCGTGGCAACGTCCCGGCAGACTCGGATGGACATGATGGGCCCAGCAGGCGAGAACTTCTCGTAGAGCATGGCTTCGGTCACGTCGGGGTGGAGGTCCCCCACGTAGAGAGAGGCTAACGGGTAGCCAGGGCCGCTAGCGTTCATGGTCAGCCACAAAGCTCAGCTGTGGAGGAAAACAGCGCGCAGGTTTCGGATCACGTGCAGCAACCACAGACCCACACCAGGGCGGGCCTCGCCGCAGCAGTGCGAGCCGTGCCCTTCCCACCAGCAGTGGCAGGACTGGGGATGCCCCAAGGATGCTGCAGTTCCCAAGTTTTTCAAGGGTATGCCAATGCTGGTGGAAAAGCTGAGCCGGAGTGATCTGAACGTCACAGCCCTGCACGCCCAGGGAACGGCTGGAGGGACACGACACACCGTGTGTACGGATTTAATCCTTTCAACGCTCAAGCTCAAGAGAAACAAAATAGAACTTAAATCCTCAGGAAGTAGACAGCCCTTCCCCACCAGACGCCGCTCCATCCGGCTGCTCAGCCAGAGCAAACCTGAGGAGACGGGGCTGCTTCGATGCGCAGAGCTG